TGTTTTGTGAGCCCGGCCACCTTGCTGCAAAGTCTGTTGTCTGGGCTTTAGTTTCTTTCCCCCTCAGAGGATTAGTTTTCTTTTTTATAAAATGAGCAGTTGGGGTGTTGGGGCTGATACTGAAGTGTCCTTCCAGGCCTGGCAGTCTACGCTCACTGGTCCAAGGTGGTCAGTAGAAGGTAACGAGCAGGTTCTGGATTGGGGTTTTGCCCTGACTCTGGGCAGAGCTTTTCTTTCTGGCCCTTGTCTCACCCCTCTGTGATGTCTGAGATCCCAGATGGCCCTGCCGTTCTGTGGCCTGGTACTTATCCAGCAGGGTGACAGGCTTTGCCCTGGAGGCAGCCAGCTCCTTTCTATGGGCCAAGCACTGTGCTCACTTCATGGGAGAAGCACCGGGGAGCGAGGATGAGGTCTGAGCCTGATGGGACAGAACCAAGGAGGATCTCCCATGTTCTGTAAGAACTTCCTCGGTGGGCTCCAAACAGAGGATGCTGGGAAGTCTGAGGAGCAGCGTGTCCCCTGCCTGGGCAAGCAGGGAAGGCTCCCATGGGGCTCGTTATTAAAGAATAGGGAGGACACCAAAGAAAGAACTATGGGCTCTGAATGCAGATCGAAGCAGACTATTTGCTCTTTTCTTTTCTTCTGTTGTGTTTTGTTTCCTCCTTCTGGAGGTTCTGCCTATTGGTTCTAATTCTTCCTTACAACATCACTAATGTGAAAATATGTTTAATAGGAACGTATATGTATAACTTAGATTGTGTGCCGTCTTGGGGAGGGAGGGGGAGAAAAATTCAAAACTCAAAAGCTGATGGAAGTGATTGTTGATAAATCAAAATAAATTAATAAAAAAGACTAGGGAAGGATCCTAAAGGGTGGGATATAGGGATCGAAGCCCTTTGCCCTACTGAAAATGTCAGTGTTCCTGCTGAAGTTGTAACTTAAGGGGAGGGAGGACATTCCAGGCCCAGAAAACCGAGCAAGGCTCTGGAGGTCCATGACCTCGGCCTCCCATCGACCTCGCTGGACAGTAACTGTGCCTATTCCCTTCGCTAACCCCTCTCCCTCTCCTCCTTTTCTTCTGGCTGCCCAGATTTCTGCCAGCTGTCCGGGATGCACCTCCTAGTGGGCCGCTACCTGGAGGCAGGGGCAGAGGGCTTGCGGTGGCGGGCGGCCCACCTCATTGGCACATGCAGCCAGAATGTGGCAGCCATCCAAGAGCAGGTGCTGGGCCTGGGCGCCTTACGAAAGCTCCTTCGCCTGCTCGACCGGGACCCCTGTGACACAGTGCGAGTGAAGGCCCTCTACGCCATTTCTTGTGAGTGCGAGGCCCCCTAGGCCCTGGGGTGGGGGAGTGGGCAGGACCCAAAAAGCTTGATTCTCCTGGTACCCCCACAGTGCCTTCCACAGGCAGGACTCCTTTCCATGGGATGTCCTGTTATCTGTAACTCCGGACTTGTTGTCCATGACCTCTTGTCTCCTTCCCTTTGTGGCTAACATGAATTTACATAAAGTGACAACTATTCATAGGTCCAAAACAGGGCTCCTTATCTTTCTCTGTTAACACCCACCCCATTACTACCAAGGGCACCCCCATCCTTGGAGTCATCCTAGACTCCTCACTCCCCCCCCCAGGTCCAGTCCTCTGCCGCACCTTCCCAACATGCCCCCTTCTGTCCTCTGACAGCCAGCCCCTGGTGCAGCCCCTCATCCCCTCACTCCTGGACCATTGCAGTAGCCTCTGGGGGGTCTGCTTGGCCTCTCCCCACTCCCATCCATCCTCCTAAGGGAGTTTCCTAAAGCTTGGGTCTGACCATGTCATCCTGTCCCCTGCTCAGTAACCTCCAGGGCTCCCAGTGGCCTCCAGGATCAAATTCAACTCGCTCAGCTGTCAAAGCCCCCTCCCAGCTGTGCGGTCTTCTTACACCCTCCTCCCTCCACACATCCTCTCGATCCATCTCTGCTCCGGGCCTTCTCTCTGGCCGTCCCCTTCCACCACTGACCTCCCTGGCCTCCCCCTTCTCCAGGAAGCCTTCCTGTGCTGATTCTCTCCACCTTCTGCTGCCTAGATCTTGTTTGCCTTAGATTGTGAGCTCCTGCCGGGCAGGACCCAGTGCCTGGCACACACACAGTAGGTGGTCCTCTTCTTTGGGAGCTGTCGCCTTTGCGGTCTGAGTGCTGACCCTGTGTTGCTGCCCCCAGGCCTGGTCCGGGAGCAGGAGGCTGGACTGCTCCAGTTCCTCCGCCTGGATGGTTTTTCTGTGCTGATGCGGGCCATGCAGAGGGACGTGGTGAAGCTGAAGGTGAAGTCGGCCTTCCTCCTGCAGAACCTGCTGGTGGGCCGTCCTGAGCACAAAGGTGGGGGGCGGGCGGGGGGCTGGGGGAGGCAAAGGGGGCGGCATTTTCGGAGCTGGGCACCAGCAGGCAGAGGGGGAAGAGAATGACTCTTAGCGTTTCTGAGGGGAGCTGGGGAGGCGAGGGTGGCACACCCCCAGGTTGGGGCCTATCTTGCCGGGAGGGTGGGCCTGGAATGCCAGTTAGCAGTGGGTTAGGCTCTGGGAAGGCCTGCCACACAGTGCTGGGCAGGAAGGGGGACCTCATCTTTTTGACCGTTTCCCCTCTGCCTTCAGGCACCCTGTGCTCTATGGGAATGGTCCAGCAGCTGGTGGCTCTGATCCGAACAGAGCACAGCCCCTTCCACGAGCATGTGCTGGGGGCACTTTGTGGGTGAGAGGAGCCTTTGGGCAGGTCCCTGGTGGGGAGGGGGAAGCATGGTCAGGCCAGGCCACTGGGATCTCGGGTCCTCCCCCTGAGGGTGGCACTGATGTTGGCAGCTCGGGGCCCCCCAGGTGATGGGAAACTGTGCAGCTCCCTGGGGGGAGGGGGAAGCATGGTCCAGGCCACGTGGGGGCCCGGGGGCCAGGTGGGCGATGGGAAGCTTTGATGACTGGTCTTCCTGGCCATCCTTCTCCCCAGGCTGGTGACAGATTTTCCCCAGGGAATCCGGGAATGCCGGGAGCCTGAATTGGGGCTCGAGGAACTGCTACGACACCGGTGTCAGCTGTTGCAGCAGCATGAGGAGTACCAGGTATGGGGCTGGGGACTCCTGCCTGCCTGGGATTCTTCTGTTAGACCTCTGGCCCTGAGCCAAGCCCCCGAGGAGACCCTGCTCCTTATGGGCACAGAGAGAGAGCTCCCTCCTTGGGGGCAAGTGAGGCTCATGTGTGGACTAGGCTTAGGACCAGCCGTGAAGTTGTAGAGAGGCCCTCATCCCCACTGGGGAGTCCTGGTGGCCTCAGAAGGCCTTCTAGCAGGCAGGGCCCTGTCCTCAGGTGGGGACATCAAGACACTGAGCAGAGGCCCAAGCTGCGGAGCACACGAGGACCCAGAAGGCCAGGCATAGGCCAGGGAGGTCCAACAGCCTGGGGCAGGGGCAGCTGGATCACATGCCAGGAGCCCTTGGAGGGCTGGAGGCCTCCAACAACGGGGAAGTCCACTTCCTGCCCAAGATGGCCAGATTGGGGGGAGGGGCCTCCCTGAGGACCCTGGCCAGGGATGGTGCAGAAGGGCCCCTCTGAGGACCATCCCTTTTGCTTGGAGTCTGTAGGCAGGGAGCAGCTGGTGGACTAGCCCTAGATAGGCAGCCCCCCCCCCCCCCCCCCCCCCCCCGCCTGGGGTGCCCATGACCCCCCTGCTTCCTTCCAGGAGGAGCTGGAATTCTGCGAAAAGCTGCTTCAGGTGTGCTTCTCCTCCCCCACGGATGACAGCATGGACCGGTGAACGCGGCTCGCGGGAGCCCCCCAGCACTGGAGCCAGCCCTGCCCAGTGGCTCCCTTCCTGCAAGCCCGGCCGCCGAGCCCGAGGCAGGGGAGGCGGCAGCCTGGGCGCCCCGGCCCGGGAGGTGGGAAGCCCCCTGTTCCCTCTCTCCTCTGCCTCCTCCCCTTCCCGGGCGCGCCCACCCCCCTTTTCGTTCTACCCTGGCAATAAAGGTGTTTCTCCCTCCCTCCTTCCTAGACTGTTACGTCTGTGTGTGGGGGCGTGGGGGGCTCAAGTGGACCAGAGCGCCCTTGGGGGAGGGGCCGTTCGTGCTGCGGGATCCCCGCGCGCTCCTTGTACGTGATGGGGCTCGTGGTCCAAGGCCCCGGTCCCAAGCCACTCTGGGTTTAGGGGCAGTGGGGGTAATTCCTGCAGCCTTCTGGGAGGTGGTGGAAAGGGCGGGGCAGGATTGCGGGTGGGGGGGCGGTGGTTGATAGTGGAATTGACGCGCAGCCCAGGCGTGGGCGCAGAGGGAGACGCATACGGATGCGTACCACTTCCCGGGAGGGTGGGAGTGCAGGGGGTGAGGGAGCGGTACATGGGCGTAGAGCGCCTGCGCTGCAGTGGAATGCGGCTTTATAAACCCCCCTCAGGCGGCGGGGCAGCGGCCGCCTTTCCAGCACGCAAGCGCAGTCGCGTGTTTGGGTAAGGCAGGGCCGAAGGGATGAAGAGCGCCTGCTGGGCGCGCATGCGCACGGGATCTATGGGCTGAGAGGGGTGGGCTGCACCGCATTGCGCTGAGCTCTCCGGGTCTTCGCCACGGGGGATTGTGGGAGACCGTGGGGGGCAGGGGAGCAGGCAGACTCGCTGCGGCAGACGGGCAGGCAGAAGCTGCGGGGACAGAAAGCAGATAGACGCCACGAAGCCTCGAAGAAAAAGGATAAGGACCCGACCCGCCTGCCTGCGACCTCCTGGGGTCACGGGAGCGGGAGAGGGGAAGGAAGGGGCGTCTCCCTCAGGCTCTCTTTTATTGGGCGCGGGGCTTCGGCAACTCCGCAGCAATTTCCCCCCACCCGCCCTTGCATCTGCGCGTGTCTATCCCCGGGCCCGCGGAGCTTTTCTAGAGCGGCTGCGTGAGATCCCCTCCCCCCTTTTCTAGCTTCAGGGCGCCTGCGCATCAACTCCCGCCCCTTCCCGCCCTCTCTGCGGCTTCTCTGCCGCGCCTGCGCGCCAGCCATTTTGCTGCCGTCTCTCGGCTCTTTGCCTGCAGAGGCTGCAGACGCAGATGCAGGGGTGGCTGAGGCGGACGCAGGAGCGAGAGCGGAGCAGCCGCCGCAGCCCCGGCCCGGCCCCGGCCTTGAAGTCCTGCACCCGCGGGAGGCAGAAAAGGAGCAGGAGGGCGGAGGAGGCGAACTGCCGCGGGCTTCCCCCCACCCCGAACCGCGCGGCCCCCCCCATCGCGCGGCTGCTTAGGGCGCCTGCGCGAGCTGGGAGCGTGCGCCCACTTCCCCGCCCCGCCTCCTCCCGAGGCGCGCGCCCCGATGTGCCCCAGGCTCGAGCAGCCGCCGCCCGCGCGCCCAGGTGGGTGACCCCGCTCCTTGCGCTGAGGGGAAGACTGAGGCACCGCAAGGGTTTTCCGGGAGCCGGGGCTGTTCCGGTGTCGAGACCCCGTGGGGAGCAGAGGAGAAATGAGGCGGGGGAGCCTGGGGGCTCAGAGGCCGCCCTTCGTGGAGGGCGGGGCTGGGGCTGCTCGGGCCGCTGGGGTACGCGTGTGTCCCCTGCTGTGAGGGGGCTGGGGCTTCGCCCGTCTCCCCCGCCGTGGTCCCCGAAGTTTCCAGGGAAGGCGCCTGCACCAGGGGTTTCTCTACCCCCAGCCAGCGAAGGGCGTTCCGGGGGAGGCATTGAACGTCACCCCCAGTGGGAGCCTCGGTCTTCTGTGCCAAACCACTTCCCTTTTCTCAATTCTCCGGCCCCCGGGTGGTGGTGCCCTGGGCACCTGCTTGGGGTGTATCTGCTTGCCCCGCCCACCAGGAGCTGGGGTGGGGGTGTCCTGGGAGGATGCTGGGAAGTCCCCCTCCCCACGCCTCCCACATTGTTCCTATCCCCGGCCTGGCATGCGCGGTTGCTATTGGAAACGCTCTTCATCGTGTTCTCTCCTGGGATCTGACTGGCCAGTGCTGAGCAGCCGGGACCCCTGACCCAGCTCCATTTCGGGCGTCTTGGTGTGGGGCCACTGCCCGCGGGGATCGCCCTCCCACTTTGGCGAGTGGCCTGGGGCAGCTCTTGTGGGGGTGCCCCCGCCGCCCCCTGGGGTCAGCACAGGGGGGTAGGGGCAGTGGTGGTCGCCGCCCTCAGGAGCCGCTGTAGCTCTCGATTCTTTGGTGCTAGAAGCTTGGGGGTGGGGGGGAGGGTTTTCCCCATTCTTGACCTGGGAGGTGTTGGAAAGGGCTGATGGAGGAGCCTTGGAAGCTTAAGGCAGCTTGCTCAGGACCAGGACTCGAACCCAGGGTATTTCTTAATGCAAACGTGATGATTTTTGTCTGAGTAGGGGTCACTACTGCCCAGCTGGAGGTGAGGGGCTAAGGGGGTCCAAGGCTCTTCCTTCCGACCTGTGTCCTGGCACGACCCCCCTGGAAGCCAGCACACACGCATATACACACACACACACACACACACACACACACACACACACACACACACACACACACACACACACATATACACGGCTGTGACTCAGGCTCTCAACGGTGGCTCCTGGCTTCCTTTCTGCAGTCTCCTCCCCATGAGATTTTGTGTTGGGACGGTTGGCCAGAGTGAGTCCCGGCCCAGGGCCTTGTTCTGGGGGCCTCCTTTGATCTCTGCAAACATTTAAAACTCCCTGGGGAGGTGGCAGGCACGTGGGGTGGCTCCTAAGAGAACCTGCTTGGGCCAGGTCCCCCCTCTCTTCCCCGCCCACCCCCCACCTGCTCCAGGCTCTTCTGTGGTCACCTCTCCGCAGGGCGTCATGTTCTGGAAGTTTGACCTGCACACCAGCTCCCATATAGACACGCTGCTGCAGAGGGATGACCTGGCCTTGGCCGAGCTTCTGGACGAGGAGGACGTGCTGCAGGAGTGCAAGGTGCTGCACCCCAAGCTGCTGGACTACCTGCTGCGGCCGGCCCATCTGCAGGCCCTCGTGGACTGGGTCACGAGGGAGCCCCCGGCCGCCGGCGGCAACGAGCGGCTGCGGTACAAGTGAGGCCCACCTGCCCCGCCAGCCTCATCTTGCTCTGCTTCTCAAGTAGTAGAGAAGGCCTGAATGCGCAGGTCCTGGGTTCAGATGCTGATTCTGTGCTAGCTGGTCAGGTCACTTTTCCTCGCCTCCCATCTAGCTGCCTTTCCTGCCTTTCCCCTGTGTCCTGCCTGGCGGTGCTGGGACCCTCACAGTGGTGTAACTGTGGATCCTGCGATGCTGAAGGAGGAGGGAGGGGGCCTCACAAGTTAATGCCTTGTTTTGGTCTCTTGGATCTGCTCCCCCCCCCAAGAGAGGTGTTTGTAACAGTGGGAGGTTGAAGGTCAGAGGTCTTACAAATTGGGAAATGGGAGTCCAGAGAGGTGGCCGAGGGCTGTCCTGGGACGGGCCCTTAACTTTTACTTGTCACAGAGGTGGATGTGCAGTGTCAGTGGCCTGAGGCTGCCACTTCCCCCCTCCAGGTACCCCAGCGTGTCCTGTGAGATCCTGACCTCCGATGTCCCCCAGATCAATGACGCCCTTGGAGAGGATGAGGCCCTCCTGGGCCGCCTCTACGGCTTCCTGCAGAGCACAGCCCCCTTGAACTCCCTGCTGGCCAGCTTCTTTAGCAAGGTCATGGGAATCCTGATCAACCGGAAGACGGACCAGGTGGGTCCCCAGAGGCCCAGTGAGGGCCTCACATCAGACCATGACTCGAGGCGCTCATTCTGGGGGTCTGAGAAGAAGCGGGAGGGGTCCGTCGAGGGGTGGGTCTGGCCAACGAGATTCTTCCTTCCTGCTCAGATCGTGTCCTTTCTGCGGAAGAAGGCCGACTTTGTACCTTTGTTGCTTCGTCACATTGGGACGTCGGCCATCATGGACCTGCTGCTGAGGCTGCTGACCTGTGTGGAGCAGCCGCCACTGAGGCGGGAGGTCTTTGAGGTGAGCCCCACTTCTCCTCTCCTCCCCCCTTCCCTCTGCCCCTCTTCTTCCTTCCCTCTTCTTCCTGCTCCATCTCTCTCTCCCTTCCCTCTGCTCCTCCTCCCCCTTTTCCCTCCCCCATCTCCCCCTCCTTCCTCCTCCATCTCTCTTCCGCTTTCCTCTACCCCTCCCTTCTCCCCCTCCTCCCTTCCCCTTTCCACTTTTCCCTGTCCCATCTCCCTCCCATTCATAATTCTTTCCTGCCCCGGCTGCCTGCGAGCACCCCCTGGTGGAGCCGCAGCTCTGTGAACTAGCGGGTGGCCCCTCACTGCTCCTGGGGCGGGGCTACCTCTTGCTCTTTGAGTCAGGGGTCACTCCTTGTCTTGGCAGTCAGAGTCTCTCCCAGTCTGGAGCTGCTGACATTTTGGCCTTTCCTTGCTATTCTCTTGCTGACTTTGCTTTGGCCAGTCTCTGTCCTAGCCCCAACGGGGTGAGGGGAGGTTTTTCTTACTTGAGGGTCCCAGGTGGGGGGACAGGGAGCCTCAGCCTCCCATCTGTGGAGGCCCTTAGAGCTCCGGGTGCAGGACGGTGTCCTTTCGTGTGTTTGGGGGGTCAGCGCTCATCTTCTTCTTGAGCCTTCTCTTCCTTAACTTCTTAAGTCTTCCTGGAGCCCTTTCTCAGATTACTGACTTGTGGAGCTGGAAGCCCACTTAACCCGTCAGATCTTTTTCACATGAAATTAGCCACTGAGTGTCTTCTATCCCATTTGGAGAATGTTCCTCTTTGAGCCTTCCTCTGTATCAGGGCTTAGTCGTTCTGGAAGGTTGTGCTATAGGACTCCAGGGATTCTGACTCCACCCAGCTCCGGGATAGCTGTAGGTGTGAGGCGTGCACGGTGTGCGCGTTCCTCTTGGCTGCTGGTCGCACTTCAGAGGCCTGAGATTTTGGGAGGATGGGTGAGGTCCGTGGCCAGCCATGTGCCCTCTGCTCGCCCTGATTCTTAGATACCTTAGCGGTCCTGGACTGCATGGTTATCATGGGAGCCCCCGCTGTGGTGGGGCTTTTGCCGTCAGCCTGCACCCAGGCGGGTTCCCTGCCCAGCCTCAGTAGCTGAGGGGATGTCGTGGAGGCTGCCCTGTCCTCACCCGTCCCCTCAGGCGCCCGTCATCTGTCCTGTAGCCGGGTGGACTCTTCGTTTCCGGCTGTGGAAACCTCAGCCTTTTTCTAAGGAAGCCTTTTTTCATCTTCTCTCCGTTCCTCTCTAGTTCTCTCTCGTCCCTTCTCGTCCTGTAGGATTGAGAGGGAGAACAAGGTCACGCTTCCTAATAGCCAAGCTGATGGCCAAGTGTTCAGAGGTCACAAGCAGCCGAGGCCAGGGTTTGAGACCAGGTCCGAGCGCTCCACGTCTCCTGAGGGACGGCATAGTGGACGTGAGCCCTGACTTGGCCGTCGCTGGGACACCTGTATGTCCAAGAACGTGTGGGCAATGGCTAAACCTTGGCTTCCTATCTGCAAAATGGGGCTGAGCATCTACTCGGTCCCTCCCCAGGCTACCAAAATTAGACTGGTCTCCCCTAAGGGCCAGGGACCACGTTCTCTGAGTCAGGCCCTTTGTCATCATGCCTGTTTTCGGCGTGTTAATGTTTGCAGAGCGTTTTGTTAGAGCAAGTCCGTGAGGGGATAGCATCCATTGTCTTTTTTAAGAGAATGGGGATGTCTGGCTGTGGATTAGAGGTGGACGGGCCCTTGGCCCGGGTCTGACTCCCACATTCAGACTGTTTCTGGGGTTCAGATCTCTGGTGGGCAGCTTCCTGAGTGGGGAAGGTGGGGGGGGTCAAGAGGCGTCTTGGCTTTGGGGGCAGCCCAATCACTGGGGTCTCTTCTCTCCAAGTGGCTGAATGATGAGAGGATCGTGCAGCGGCTGGTTGACGTGATCCACCCGGACGGGGATGACACTGTGAGTCCCCCGAGTCCCCTGGCGGGGTGGGAGCTGGGGAGGGTCCCGTCACTGCCTCACGCCCCCGTCATTGCTCTCACCTCAGCAACACTCCAACGCGTCCCAGTCCCTTTGTGACATCATCCGTCTGAGCCGGGAGCAGATGCTTCACGTGCAGGACGGCTCTGAGCCCAACCGACTGCTGGCCACGCTGGAGAAGTGAGTGGCCTGGGGCGCTGCTGGGGATCCCTGGAGCCCGCTGTCAGTCAGCCCTTGCCCCCGCCCTGGGCCTTGCGGCAGGCCCTCAGTGTATCCCTGCCCCCATCCAGGCAGGAGACCGTCGAGCGCCTCCTCAGCAACATGTTCCAGGGGGCCCAGAGCGAGTCCGTGATCGTCAGTGGCATCCAGGTCATTCTGACCCTGTTGGAGCCTCAGAGGCCCAGGTGAGGGCAGTGCTGAGTCCCAGGTCCTGCCCTTATGAACGAGGGCATTGGCATGCACAGAGCCACTCTGGGTTGTCTTCTCTGGGCGTGTCTCCGCTTCCCTCTCTGTGCCTCCTGTTGATGGGCTTTCTCTTGACTCTGCAGGGCAGAATCCGGAGGTGGGGGCAGCTTCTCCTCCAGTGTGGATGGCCTGCTGGAGCTGGTGCCCCCGGGGGGCCCCAAGAGCCTCCCGCCCAACCAGGCCAACCTGGGCACGCTGAGAGCCCTGAGGCAGTGGCTTGGCCACTTCCACCAGCTGCTCCTGGAGCCCCCCACAGTGAGCCAAAGGCCGGGGTCTGGGGGGCGGGCAGTGGGGTGGGGCATGGGGTGGTGCGCTCCTTCCTCCTCGCAGGTGAGGGGCCCAGTTCAACTCTCTGCAAGGTCCTCTCTGGCTCTAACATTCTATGATCTATGATTAGAATCACAGAATTTCAGAGTTGGAAGGGACCTCAGTGCTTACGCGGACAGCGAGCAAGCAAGAGCGTGCCAGTGAGACGGCCTTCCCTGATGGTCCAGGAAGCCCGCCATTGCTGCGGAGTCGGGTGTGGGGGGAGGGAGGGGGGCGGTCCACTAGCCGAGGGAAGCCTGGGCATCCGGCCCGATGATCCTCTGGTCTTCCCACCTTTTAGCAGGAGACTCTGCGCACGACCTGGGGGAGCCTGCAGCCCCCATTGGGCAGGATGCGGCTGCATGTGGTGAAGCTCTTGGCCAGCGCCCTGAGCGCCAACAACGCGGCCCTGACGGGAGAGCTCCTGGGAATGGACACTCTGAATGCTATGCTGGTGAGCGGGGCCGTGCCGTGCAGGCGGGCCGGGGGTGGGGGGAGGGCGAGGCCTGCTGTGCCCTGCTCCTCCCCCAACCGTCTCCCTCTTTCCCGTCTTCAGGACCTCTTCTTTACGTACGTGTTCAATAATTTTCTGCACTCTCAAGTGGAGACGTGGGTGAGCTGTGTGTTGAGTGCCGCGGCAGCTGGAGAGGATGGGCCAGAGCTCCTGGTGCCAAATCCTGCAGTCAGACACGTAAGTGTGGGACCAAGGTCCTCTTCCCAGGTCTGCCCACCCCCCCCGGAGCCTTTCCTGGCAAGGCCGCTGCCTGCTCGGGACTCCTGGTTCTGATCTCTGCTGTCTGAAGCGATCTGTCACGTCCCCAGTGGTGATTCTCTTCCCAGACGTGAGACCGCGAGGCGGGGCAGCTGCAGGGCTCCGTGGAGTGCCAAGTTCAAATCTTGCCTCTGACACTCACTGGCTGTGTGACCCTGGGCAAGTCACTTTAGTGTGGCCTAGAGAGGAAGTCTTGGTGTCTGTGAATTGCTTACCATCATTGTCTTTCTTGTAATCACCGTAGTTCTGCTGGTTACTGGGATGGTGACTGACACGGGTTAGTACCCTTGGGCTCCTTGGGTGCCAGGCCCTCCTAGCAGGCCTCTGGCTCTGTGTCTGAGACCCTTGCCGTCCCAGGCCACTGACCACCAGCTCCCTTCTGTCGCTGTCTCTGCCCCCCCCCCCGGTGCTTTCTCTGCTCTCCTCTTTGGTCACTCACAAGCTTCTTCCCAACTTGCTGATTTCTGTTGAGGGCACCAGGAAGCCTCCCAGTGGCTCCTGGGAGAGGCAGTGCAGCTGTTGCGCTACCCACTTTGCAGATGAAAAAGTAGAGGCCCAGAAAGGTGACAGGCTGAACACAAGGTGTAGTTAGGAAGGAATCCAGCTAGGAATGAAGCACTGGCCTCCATTCAGTTTAGCATTCTCACTGGGCAGATTCTCGTAGTTTCTAAGAAGTGAGTGATCTGGGGGTTTTGTGTTTCCCTTTTTGGGGACCTTCTTCTCCACCCCCTCTTGGGGCCCTCTAGCCTGGCCTTTGTGCTGGGGGCAGGGTCCCGTCTGCCCGCCCCCTCCAGTCTCCCGGGCCGTCGCCTTCTCCTCTCAGCTTCCCCTCCTGGCCTGCTCCCCCAACCCCAGTCTCCTCCTCTTTCCTGTAGTTGCTGCAGAAATGCCATCTGGTGCAGAGGATCTTGGGCGCCTGGGAGGAGAACGACAGAGTGCAGTGAGTGACCGGGGCTGGGCCAACCCCCTCCTGGCCCGCTCTTGAACGGGGATCGGGGCGTGGAGCTGAGCGGCCTGTCCATCCGCAGGTCGGAGGGCGGCCCGAGGAAGGGCTACATGGGCCACCTGACGCGCATCGCCAACGCTGTGGTGCAGAGTGCCGAGGAGGGCCCCAATGCTGCGCTGGTGGGGCAGCTGCTTCCGGGTGAGGGGCCGCCAGAGCAGGAATGGGGTGGGGAGGAGGGGGGGGCGTGGCCCCCCAGAGGTCAGTGTTACATCTTCCCTCCCCACCCCCCATGGAGCAGAGCTACTGGGGGAGCAGCAGCAGCTGTGGGAGAAGTTTGTGTCGGGGCCTCTGTCTGAGATCAACCAGAAGAACATGGTGGACCTGGTGAGACTGGGGCTGGGGGGCCCTGTTCCTGTGCCGTGTCTTCTGGGGGGGACTTCTGACTGAGGTCCCGACAGGTGCCCCATTATTCCCTTCGCCACGCCCAGGTCAGCACCCGCAACCTGCACCCCTCCAGCAACGACAAGGACGAGCGTCTGAAGGGCTTTGACTTTCCCCAGGAGGCCGTGCTGCAGCAGGTGAGGCAGGCTCCCTGCTCCCCCTGCTCTCTTTGCTCCTTTTCCTTTTCCCCAGCGTCCAGGCCCGGGAGGGCCTTTGGGGGTGGAGAGTGAGGCCGGCCCGGGAGGGCAGAGGAATGCAGGGCCTCCGCCAGGGTCAGGAGCAGGAAAAGGCCTTGGGTCAGGCCCCCAAGGCTGGATTGGGTGGGCAGGGCCTTGGCTCAGGCCCTCAACCGGCGGGGCCTCGGCCCGGGCATCGTGGCCCAAGGCGGTCCTTCTTCCCCACAGGCCTTCGTGGACTTTCAGGTGCAGCAGATGACCTCAGCCTTTGTGGAGCATTTTGGTTTCAATGACGAAGAATTTGGGGAGCAGGAGGAGAACATCAAGTGAGTGTTCTTTCAGGCTATGGGCGGCTCTTGTCTCCCTCCCTTTCCAAGGGTGGCGCTGGATGCAGTGTCCTCGAACCCCTCCCCTTCCCCCATGGGGGGGGCCACAGACCTGGCCCCTGCTCTTCTGGGCAGGGAGGGCCACCCAGCCAGAGGACACCCATTTACCGATCATTTCTGAGGTTAAAGAACAGCTCGGTGTGCCTTTGCCTAGGTCTTCTGGGTGGCCTGGGAAGCGGGGCTTTCTCTTTGGGCCATGAGAAGGAGGTGGGGGAGGGGGGAGGGCAGGGCAGGTTGTGGTGGGACAGGTGGGGTGGGGGAGCTGGCCGCGAGGAAGCCGTGGACATTTCCTGACCCCCTGTCCACGCACCTCAGGTCCTGGAAATCTTGTAGGCTCCTGATGGGCCGGGCACTACCCTGTGCCTGGCTCACTTGTAGGCCTTGGGCGGGGGGGGGGGGCGGGGAGGGGAGGCCAGGACAAGGGGCTCTCTCAAACCTTGTTCTGGCCTCTCCTCTAGCGCCCCCTTTGACAAGACGGCCAGTATCACCTTCTCCCTCAGTGCAGATGACAAGAGCGTGAGTGTCAGCCCTGCCCGGGGTGGACTGGGAGCAGGACATCAGGGTCCCTGGGGGTAGGTGGGGGGTAGGCAAGGGCACCTGGCTGGGTGGGGGGTGGAGGACAGGTACGCTGTGGTGTGATGAGGAGCCAGGACACTCCCCCCCGCCGCGAAAAGCCTTGGGTGGGCATCTCCAAGCGGCCATTTCCATGAGTTCTCCCGATGAGTGGGGGGGCTGGGCTGGGGGCTCTCAGACGTGGGCAGGGACCAGAAGAGAGCCAGCTGTGGTGCTATCCCCAGCCCAACGCCAGCCTGTTTGAGCTCTGCTGTAAGGAGCGGCTCCATCAGTTTGACGAGGATGACGAGGAAGGTCTGGGCTCAGAGGACTCGGATGGGGAGGATGCCGTGTGGCAGGCCGGACGGTGGGGCCAGGCCCACAGCGTGTGGTGAGTGAGGCCCGGGGCGGGGGGGCGTCCTGGCCCGGCTGTTTCTCCAGGAACGGTCCAGACTCAGACATCCGTCATTTTGGTCTTCTCTGGTGATAGGAGCAGAGGCAGCACAGACAGCGAGGAGGAGGAGGAGGAGGAAGATGAGGAAGTCGGTGGGACCATGGGAGGGCTTATCCCATCCTCTTTTAACTTTTCCAACCAGGAGCCTCCTGGGATGCCTCCCCAGGGTAACGGGCCCTAGGGATTCTCTCTCCAAGGGCTCTCGGGACTTGTCCCCAGACAGACATGGCACCCACCATCTGCCCTGTAGGAGATTGTAGTCTAATGGGGCCGGGGCGTGAGGGCACACGTGAACGGTCTGAATGAAGGGCTCAGGGATGGCACCCGAGAAGGGAGAAAGGTCTTTCCACAGAGGATGCAAAGGGCTGGCTTGGGCCACTGGTCAGCCAGGCTGGCCGCCGTCCAGAACGGTGCTGGAGCACAGGGGGAGGGGGAGGTGCACATCCCTCTGGTGGAGCCCAGGAGGGAGCCCTGAGTCCAGGGGTGGGGGCGGGATCGGCTGGTGTCAGAGGCCCTCGGGGGCCATGCCCTGGACGTCCCCGAGGTTGGTCTCCTCACACCCTCATCTCTGCCTGCAGGGCCGAGGAAGCATATCCCTTTCGACTCTGTGCCTATCGGTACCTCTGTGGGCTGCTCCTCTGACCCCCCCTGTGGCCATGTGGCTCAGGGTGCTGGCGCCCCGTTGGACAGGTGAGGCCCAGAGAGGGAGGTCACAGCCTCCAGCTGTAGGGCCTCGCCCTGACCTGTCAGAGCTGTGTCCTCAGCGGGGCCTTCTGTCCCCTTCCCCTGCAGAGTAAAGGACCCCTCTCCGCACACCGCCGCAGGAACGCCTCAGGAATCGACAGATGCCAGTGTGTTGGCCTGCCACCGCCAAGGTGACCGGGGTCTTCCCTTTCCTCTGGTCAGGATAGGAGTGGGCTGGGGTGTGTAGCCTCTGAGGTCTGGGCACCAAGGTTTCTGACAGCTGGTAAGGTGGTGGTCCTGAAGACCCTGATTGCTCCCGTCCCCTCTTCCTGCAGCTGCCGGGCAGACCGCAGCCCCTCGCAGTGAGAGTCAGGAGCTTCCCAGACCCCCCTGCCAGGACAGGTGAGGAAGGGTGGCTGTGGGCTGTAGGTCAGCATTAGTGTGTAAGGCGCGTTCGTTGTGGTGAAGGACTGTTCTTATCTCATTCTGGGAGGTAGGAGCTGTTCTTGCAATTCTAGAGAACAAGCTGAGGCAGGCAGATTAAATGACGTCTTCCGGAACCCCACTCGAGCCCAGTTCTTCCTGACTCAGGCCTGTACCTAGCAGGCAGTGAGCCTGGAATTTCCCATGATGCACCAGGCATCACGTTAGCTCCGTCAGCCCCCAGGCCCAGCGCAGACTGGTTGAGTTGAATGAGGGTCTGGGGAAGGGGGCGAGGTGGCTCACCAAGGTCTCATCTCTTATTAGTGAGCTGCCAGTGCTGCCCAGTGGTCCTGCTCCAGGGGGGCCCACCTGCCTCTCTGAACACCAAGTAAGCAGCAGTATTGGGAAGGGGGCAGAGGGCAGATGGGGGGGGCAGGATAGGACCCTCTGCTCTTACCTATCTTTTTGCCCAGATAACCTTTCGGGGGGGGGGTCATCATCTAACAGACCACCGCCCCTCACTGTCCTGTCCACATCAACACTGCCACCCCCATCTGTTGTGTGTCAGCCCATTCCCTTCCTTCCCAGCACTGGAGTCTCCGTGCCCCCTTCCTGTCCTTTCCCCTCGGATCTTCTTGGATTCCTGAAGAGAGAAGGTTGGTGACAGAGACCCACAGGGAGTTCTGTCCCTTGAGCTGGCCTGGCTGGGAGCGAATGCAGGGAGTGGTGTGTGGGCAGGGAGAGGTTGGTCTGGATCCCCACCTGCCCCTCCCCCAGCCCTGTTTGCACTGAAAATGTGGGGAGTGTTGACTTTGGAGAGATGGAGTCTGATAGATGTGTTCTCTCTTCTCTAGATAGTGGAGTTAACAACAGCAGCTGAGAAAGGCGGGGGGGGGGAAGGAATTTGGGGGAGTCCCACAGGAAATACAACAGGTGTTCTGTGCCCACCGCCACTCCAGAGGGCCGCCCAGGCCTCGGAGGCTTGAAGAAGGCCCCAGAGAGAAGACTGCCTTGCTTTGTGGGATGGGGTGGGAGCCCTCACCCCTCCCAGTTCCCCCATCGTCTTTGGGGATGGGGTGCTTTTCTTACTGCCCCCCAAGGACCCTGGGGGCTTCAGGATGAGCGTATGCTCCAAGTTGCTGGGGCTTTGGCTCTAGCTGCCAAGTGGCCTTGTTCCTCCTTGCCTGGCCTGTGTGTTAAGGCTAAGCCGTTTTCATATTCCTGACATAAATAAATATTTAAGAAGGTTTTTGTTTGCTTTTGTTCTGCAGGCTTGGAGGGTGTGTTAGGAGTTAGGGGAGTAGAGTAGGAGCCCCATCACAGGCCTGGATGGGGCCTTGTTGCTGACTAGCCACAGCGTAGGGCCCAGTGGCCTGGCCCTGGAGGAGGGATGCGAGCTTTAGTGGAGAGGACAGAGGAGATGGAGCTGACGTCTTCATTCCTACTCTGCCTCTGTGTGCGAGGTGTTGGGAGGAGAGAGCTCAGTTGCTTGGGTGGAGTGTGCTGATGGGATGAAAATGACCGTACTGCCTTTCCAACCTAGAAAAGGTTTGCATTCTAGAGCTGGGGAAAAGTGAAATTCATCCAGAGGACAAAAGGTTCAGAGTCGGGAGAGTGGGAAGGAAGGGCCTTGGTGGTAACACAGCTCAAGCAGCAAAAGGTAGTTAAACTACGTGGTACCGGCCACAGAATAGGAAAGTCTGTGGCACAGATTGGTGTAAAATGGACAGGTGTGATGTTTGATAAATGAGAAACTCAAAACCACTGGTAAGAGGACTTGGTACTTGGCAAAAGCCGCTGGCGCTGGCAGAAATTAGCGTCGGATCAGCATCTCGAAACAGAGTCGGTGATTGGCCCAAAGGGGTGGGATCCCTGTGTAGGGAGCATGCTAAGTAAGGAAAGAAGTCATGAGTGGCTGTGGGAATAGGGAGAGTTCATGGTTACGGTGGGTGGTAGGACTGTGGGAAAAGGGAAAGTTCTCACAGGCAAAATCAATGTGTTTTTTCAATGTGAAGGGGAAGTCTAGGGGAGAAGCCTTTGCATCATGTTCTGGTGAAGGTCTGATTCTAGATTAGGGCTTCTTGAACTTTTTCCATTCGTGACCACTTCCTTGCCTCTTCAACTGGCAGTCGTGACCCCCAGTTGAAGAAGCGCTGTTCTAGATAAATATAAGGAAGGGATTCAGATACAGGGGAATGAGAGCCATTCCCCAATGGATCAATTGTCAGTAGACTAGTGGTGTCAAAGGAAGAAATCTTTGGAATGCTATTTTTGAAATGCTCTAAATTGGTAATTAGGAAAATGCACTTTAAAACACCTGAGGTTCTACCTCAACCCATCAAATTAGCAAAAAGGAAAAGGAAAAAGGTAGTTGGAGCAGCTGTGGGAGGACAGGCCCGTAAGTACTGCTGGGCCTGTGAATTGGAACACTGTGGTGGGAAGAAGTTTGTAACAATGCCAATGAAGTCACCAAGCTGTGCATAATCTTTGACCTAACGATGTCTTCACCAGGCCTAGACTCCAAAGGCACTTCACACAAGGCCTGGCACGTAGTAGGTGTTCAGTCTGTGCTTACTGACTGCCTGAAAAAGACCCATGTGTACAAAAATACTGTTGTTCAGTCCCGTCCAACTCTTAAAACCACATTTGGGGTTTTCTTGGCAGAGATACTGGAGTGGTTTGGCCAATCCCTTCTCCAGCTCATTTTACAGATGAAACAGCTCATTTTACAGGAAACTGAGACAAAAAAAGTGATTTGCCCAGGCTCGCACAGCTAGTAAGTGTCTGAGGCCAGATTTGAACTCAAGTCTAACTGACTCTCGGTCTGAGGCTCTATCCAGCTGCTGTCAAAATAGATAGAGGCTTATTTTTATTGTAGCAAAGAAGTAGAACCGGAGGGAATAGCCATCAGCTGGGGCATGGCTGAATAAATAGTGGTATTTCAATCTAATGAAATAAGGGACAGTTGCAGAGAAGCCAAGGAAGCCTTGAATAAACTGATAAAGAATGAAGCCAGCAGGACCAGCAGAACATCGTGGAAATGAAAGATGCAGTTGTGGGGCACCCTGGTCGATGGAAGGGCCGAGCACAACGTGAAGCCAGAGGAGCTGCCCGTCTGCTAATGGAGGCCAGGAACTTGGAGTGCAGGAGGAGACATTCATGCAGATTGGTCTTGTGTCAAGTGTCAAGAAACGTTTCTTAAGCACCTACTGTGTGCTAGGCACTGTGCACATGAAAAGAAAGACAGTCCCCTCAAGGAGCTTACAGTCCAACAGGGGAGGACAGAAAAAGCTGAAAAGGGAGAGGGGGGAGTCACCAAAAGGTACCCATTGTGTGTGGGGGTGAGGGGCGTGATCATTGTGGAGGTGAAGCCAAGCAGAGGGATGGAATGGAAAGTGAAGTGAGCTGAAAAGTCTGAGTGCCTCGGGAGGAGCCCAGGGTAGAGGCCCTGAGGCCTTGCCGGACACCAGCCTGATTCCTCATCTCCCAAAGATAAGAGCTCAACCTGTGTATTTGTTAGGCAGGTTTTGTTTCTCGGTTTTTAATTGGAGGCATGGGTGAGGGGGCTGGTGATAACATTGCCAAAGAAAGAGGGTCTTGGGCATATCTGGAATAGCAGATGCACAGCACAGGCCAGGAGAAAACCTGGACAAGCTGGCCAGCTTTGGAAGTGACTTGGTTCAGTCTATCAACAAACATTAAAGGGCTCCTTAGGGCAGGACCAGGCGCTGGAGATGCGAAGAGAGGCCAAAGATGAGCCTGCCCTCAAGGAGCTCCCAGTCTAGCTGGGGAGATGCAGAGCAACCACACAGGTGCCGGTGAGCTAGGGATGGGGAAAAGGAGGGGCTGGGGAAGGCTTCCTGCAAAGGGCATTTGGGACAGCTGGAGAGAGAGTGCCCCAGGCTGAGATGGAACAGCTGGGAGGCCTGACTGAGGAACATAAGCACGTGTGATCACACGGGGCTTTGAGCGCCAAAGGATTTTATGTGGGATTTTAGAGGGGGTCATGTGGTCAGATGTTTGCGTTAGGAAATTCTTTTGGTGACTGACCGGAGGATGGACTGGACAGGGGAGACCCAAAGCAGGCAGAACCCCCAGAGGCTCTTGCCACAATCTAGGCATGAGGGGATGAGGGTCTGCACCAGGGTGGGGGCAGGGTCAGAGGAGAGAAGGAGGTGTTACAAAGCTAAAATCAATAGGCTTTGGCAACCCATTGTATATGGGGGAGAGGGGATTATATGTAACAGAGATCTGAGGATTTATGTACAACTATTTTTTCTATTTCGTGTATATGGAAATGCTACCTTTAAACAAAAATTAAAGGTAAGATTTAGAGTTCTGTTTAGGCAGCACCCACTATGTGCTTTGCTAAGTGCTAAGGATAAAACTACAGAGGCAGTCCTTGGCCTCAAAGAGCTTACAATCTAACGGAGGAAGACAGCCCACAGAAGGGGGCTGAAAAGGGGTTGGGGGCCTGGTGGAGACACCCAAAAGCAGTCAATGCAGCTGGTGGAAAATGAAGAGCTGGCCGGTGGGGGGAGCTCCCAGCTCCACCCTCCAGTCAGAGAGGGCCTGAAGGGGCAGGTGTGAAGACCGGGGCCGTTTGGCTTTGGCCAGATGATGAGGTTCCAAGGTTCCAATGGTCCAAGCCTGAAGTCCTGAGGATTAGAACCTGGCTCCAATTCTGAGGTTAGTAAAGGAAGAGCATTTGCTTACACAGCAGAACCCCAAACCAGGGGTTTGAGAGAAACCTTGAATCTTCATTTCATATGCTTGCTTTGGGGGGAAAACCCAAGTGTTTAATACACTCTGCAGGTTACTTTCAACCCTGTCCTGCTTGTCTTTGCTTCACTCTCAACTCCATTCTGTTCTCTTCTGTGCATTAAAAAACAAAAACCCAACATGTTTTATGACCCTCTTTTTTTTTTTTCTTGTTTGACACATTGGCACGCTCAAGTGAAGCAGATCCTCACAGTGGCCGTATCTAAAGTGTCTGTTTCTATACCTCGTAGCCAAGCAACTCTCTACCGAGAGGTGGGGGGGATAACTTCCTTTACCCTAGGCCTTCTGGAGAAAGGCTTTGATGAGAGTTCTAGAGCCTTCGGAAGTTGTATTTCCTTCTAAAGTTGTCCTAGCAGAAATTCTTCTTGTTCTGCTCGCTTCACTCTATGTCTGTTTACACTAGCCAGGAATCTCTGAAATCATATTTTTCATCATTTAATAACCCACCGTACTCATATATTGGTTTTGTTCAGCCATTTCCGAACTAAGAGGAAATCTGAGGCGCCCCCTTGGATGCTAGATCTTCGCTTTTCTTCTGGATCAGGAGGATTATTCAGCTCCTGACTCTTCCGTCCCTGGTATTATCCTCTCTCTTAATCCTGCCCCCCCCCTACCAGTTTCCCTGTTAGCTTGATGCAGTCCTTAGTCCTGGGCTGTCACCGTTGCAGAGCCATGGCACCATGTTGGCTGGCTCCCACACGGATTACTTGCACTCCCAGAGGTTTCCTCACTGCCTCCTCTGGGTCTGACAGTCCTGCCGCTTTCTCAGGGGCCGCTGCGCTCTTGCTGCCTCACTGGCCACTCGTGTCCTGTCTGGGTGTACTGGCCTTTGCTTGGCCTGAGAGATCTTCCTTATGGCCCGCGGGCTCCTGGCTGGCTTTCTGTGCAGTTTGGGGGTGGAAGGCGTCCTTACTGTACTTTCCCGTTAGATGTGTTGGCTGCAGTTTGATCTGAGGTGAACTTTAGGGTTTTGCTGGGGTAGATGTGGAGAAGCTGGGTGGTCAGGCAATCATCTTGGGCAGAAGTCCCTTATGACTTAGGAATTATAAATCCAACACCTGTTTGGGGACTTTGGAGATATCATATAAGGATTGCTGGGGTTGTACCTGGCAGAACAATGGCACTGCTGAGTTTTTCACATGGGTCCCTGCTCTCATGAAGGCGCCAATTTGAAGTGTTAGAAGCCAAAAAAGAAAGGAAAAGAGGAGAGAGGCGAGGCGTTGGGGACGGAAGGTGCAGGAGGATGCCAGAAGAGCGGTCCATCAACACCCAGAGCAGAACCTGACAGGGCAGAGTTCGCAGCCGTTTGGAGAGCAGAGCGCTGGACAGAAAAGAGAAGCTGATTTTCTGAGGGCTTATTGGCTCTTCCTCTGTGAAGCTGGTGGAGAGGTAGTTGGTGCTGTCACTGTCTAGAGACAGCCATGCCTCAAGAGAAGGGGCAGCTTTGAGGGGCCCTGGTCACCCTCC